TTCGGCCAAGGCAGGAGCAAATCATCCAGCTATAGCAGCGATAGTCCCTCGTAACTCTGCACACAGCACTGCAGAGCGTATGAACTGTACGAACTGATGGCTTCTCACCTCTGCAGCGTTTCCCGTGAGAAGGTGGTTGCACGGACTGCGAAGCAAGCACATTCGTTGGCAAGAGCTGTGGTCACCTCAGAACAGCAAAAGCTTGCAACAGCGGAGTGAGTTGATCCGGGGTTAATTTCTCTTTGAATGGGAGCCAATGCTGGATTCTCACAAGATTTCAATTTCAGTCACATGGGCATACAAGGCCGGTGACCTGCGCAGTGAAACAGCAGCGCTGGCGGCTCTGGTCGCACTCTTAGCAAATCCGCGCCAAACAGGTCTCGTTGAGAGGCTCACCTTGTCCACAGCAGGCCTCAACTCTAACTGGACATCTTTGGTCACTATTGCGGGACTGCAAGCGGTTTTGTCACGGGCTGCTTGAGGCCCGTTCGCATATTGCCGCATCACGAGCACAAGAGGCCAGAAGTGCGAGCCTTCGGGGTTTACCAAATGCAGATGAGCGATCATTCTTTTGGCGCAATACATGGAACCAGCTGACTCTGCACTTGCCCTGCTTTGAGTCCAGCGTCTGCAGGCAGTCGAAGTCGCTAAAGAAGCTGTCCGCTGTGTGCAATACTCAGAGACCGGCTCACCTTTGCTGCGACTGAAGAGCTGCAGCATCTCTTTGCGTGACATGATGACGCATGATGTCGATGTTGCAGGCAAGTGAGTCCGGAGATCGTCGCAGCCAGATCACTGCTTTGCAGGCAAGTCCTGCTCAGCTAACGGCTATGGTGTAGAAGGTGGGTCAGTCTGTCAGCAAGCATTCTCCATCCTCAGCAAGATTGGCGGAATCGGTCAATTCTGCGCAAGAGGCGCTTAGCAATTCACAGGCATTTGGGGACATCTCGCTGAAGCTTGGCGGGGAGCTCTCTAAATATTCCAGCGACGGCACCCGTCCTAACCTTTGTGTTGACTCAGGCCACGCTTTCGATGCTATGGAGGCATCCAAAGAGGCAATTGCGGGAGCCTTGGATCCAAATCTTGGACTTCTCCACTGACGAACTTGGCTGTGCAGGAGTACTGCCGCTTCGAAGGTTTGGTCCACCAAGAGGCGGCAGGTGCCTCAGTCGTCCAAGATCTGTTGACTTGAGCCTTGAAGCGCATCGGGGCAGGCAGCCTTGACAAACCTGGTTGCTGCTCGCCTCGCAAATGCTCGAAGCTCAATTCCGTTCAGCTTCTTATGCACAAGGAGTCCTGCAAGATTTGCCGAGGCAGAACCCAGCGAAGCGCTGAGGGCTGCAAAAGAGGCCACAGCTTCTCAGCCTTGTGCAACATGCCACTGGCGGCGAGTTTTGGAGGCACATGATCGTGCACGCAGGCCTTGGGTTTGGTGGCTCATGTCGTTGGGATTGCTGACACCTCTTGTGGCTCTGGATGACCTGGCTCGCGCAAGAAGTAGGGTGCGGTGACAGTGCTGGCTAAGAACATACTGTTACGGACCCAGGGTCGTCTGGTTTTCAAATTTTAGAATCAAATTTTCCGAGGTTTAGGGACATTCAGGGTTTTTAGTACGTTTAGTTTTTTTCCGATGCCTCCTCCTAGGCATAATGTTCCCAACTTGCAGTCAATGGCAAATGATAGCCATTTGATACACGTAGTTTTGTGTGGCGTTGCTTTACAGGGGAGTTGGGAGCTGGCCTAGTAAACGGAAAGAAGGTGGCTGTATGCCTGCTACACCCCCTGTGAGCCAGAAGGCCCAAACACGAAAGCAAAATGCAGGTCAGGGGCTCTCTTTGTCTTGCAGCTTTTTGATGTTAATGGTTTCGGGGCCGAGCCCACACTCTCATTTCTTCATCCAATGTTTCCTTAATCAGTGGTATCTGCAGTCATTGTGCTTCACTAGTTTCATCTGATTTTCATAGTTGTCATTGCAAGGCTTGGCAATACTCGATCTGAAGCTGCGTCGCTGGTTGCCTGGCCGCGTTTGTTACCCACCGCAGCCTCAAACGCGCAATGTTGAAATCACAGAAACCATGCCCGTCCACGTTCACATTATCTGCATGCATCGGGGTGTGTTTGTGAAGGTATCATGCTCGAAGCCCAACTCAACAGTTTTGATGCTCATGTCAGGAAGCGGTTGCCAGCGCCGGCCACCTAGCTCTTATGCTGCATGCTGCAGCTGTGGGCCGTCGTCGCATGATGGTACAGCAGGTTTGCCTTCACATCAAAGCACCAGCAGAGGCCATTCAGGCCCCGGAGCCGAACACTGTAAGTGCGGAGAAGATCGCATGCACGAACTTTGACTGCTCTAGTATGTGATAGTTGTCATGGAGACAGCATCTCTGACATCATCATCGGCGTCTTTTTTCGTTTCTAGACTGGCATTCAACCTCTAACCCTAGTGCGATCTCTCGGATCTATCCGAGCACATTGGGTCCCATGCACTGCAAGGTGTCACTTCCTGCAAAGTTGCTGCTTCTCCCTGGTGTTATGTCATGTCATGTCATTTCGCAGTATGTGCTCGTTTTGTTGTGCTACTGTCACGTTGTCTTATGTTATCTTATCAGAGCTCTCTTCCAGAGCTTTCGTTTCATGCCTGGCTTTAGCCGATCAGTCCAAGCGGGTATGGGGGCATCCCCAAAACTTACCGTCAATCTTGGAGCCTGCCGAACCGGGTTGATTCAGGGGGCGTTTCCAATTCTAGGGGGCGTTTAGGTGTTTTTTTTCCAGGACCCTGATCGGTGCGTATCCTGTTCGTTTCGGGGTCGGTTTCAAGGCCAAAATGAGGGGTCTGAGGGTTAAAATCGGGGTGAGATCTGAAGTTATGGAGCGTATGCGAATCAAAAATAGGTTGCTCTGCATTTGTACGCACCCTCCCGGCCCCTGCCCTCATCTGTTACTGCTTCAAGAATCCTCCACTGTCCTGTTCATGAGCGCACCCCCTCGCTGGGTGCAAGTTCAATTTGATCGCTAAAGCGAATGCCGCTTCACGGCTTGCGCGCAGAGGATCCGGTTGTGCAACACTTCGATTGACGCGAGCATCCCAAGCGAAGGGAATTCGTGTTGACGGTAATTTCTTCTGATTCTAGAATGCCAGTGCTTTCCTGCCCTGGTAATATGCGCAGGTGCCCAACAAGCTAGATGAAGACATGGCAGACATCCCATCGAACAAGAAATCGTCACAGCCACCATAGAACTTCATGACGCTAGAAGGAGGTAAATGCGGACGAGTCGGACACAATCCCGAAAGTGTATGTTTCAGTCGTTTCGTGGTAGGCTCTTGATGGTGCTCAGCTGCATTACAAGAAGCTCAAGGCAGGGTCTCTGCCAGCAAGTATTCGCTCGTAGATGCTGCCATGCTTTTGTCGTACCTCCACCAGGACAGGAAGAAGGAAGGTACTGTTGTGAACATGGCCACAGCACTAAGCTTTCGCCGTAGAAGTGAAGACAGTGGTGCCGCTTAATGCCCAGCTCAGGTCGTGAAGGCTCAGCTGTTGGCCGGTGATGCAGCAGCAGCATTGCGGGCCGCAAAAGAGGCAGACATGTTTGGTGAGATGCCAGCAAGTGCATGACAATACCGTAGCTGGCAGGCAAGAAGTTTGGCACGCGAGTTGCGTGATCGCAAAGCTGAGGCGGAGGTGCATCAGAGACTAGACTCCACATGACTCCACAACAGCTGTGAAGTAATCATTCGGCGGGCAGACCAGACGTCCCCTGAAGGCACTGGATGCAGCTTCCCAGGCAAAGCTGTGCGCGGGGTCTTGCAGGTTGATGAAATTCACTTGCCAGGTCCACCTTGCCAAACGAGACTTCAATGAAGCTCTCGACTGTGCCAAAAGCGTAGTCCTCACATCCAAGTATCCGATGGTACCTTGCTGGTGCAAGCCGCGCTTGAGGCATGGCCAGCTTGTACGATGAGCTTCAGGAAGACAAGCTAGCAGCCAAGGCTTGCGCTTTCCCTGGGAGTAGCCATAGCAAGGCAAGCCTGGGAACTGTGGAGGCCAAGCAGTTGTTGACCTCCATTTATTTGGCGAAGGGTGACGCCAGAGTGCCTTGGCGCAATTAGTTCGCAGAGCGATCAGGGACGCCCTGAACATACTTTGGCTCCTAGCGTCAGGCTGCCATCGATGTTGGTGGTTGCCTCAGTGGTACTGAAGCGTGCAATGGGCGCTCACCATGAATTCGCAGTCTTGCTCTACAGCCAACTTTCATCGCTCAGGCGAAGATGCTGTGGCCGCGTTGCAGAAGCTTGACGAGTTGTCATCAGAGGCCTATCTTCAATAGTGAACGGTGATTTGCGGTAGCCTTCTCCACGTTCGCGCAGGCTGTCGCCCAACATTTATGTGCACAAGCATACCTGCAGCGTGCATGCCTCCGACCTTTTGATAGTTGCACCGCCTTTTTCCTATTGTTTATGATGTCTCCCCAGCCGTTGTCCAAGGCCATCATGATGATGAAAGAAGCTTTGGACCTCAGATGCCTGCATTGTCATTGGTCTACCGCATGCGCACCCAGTGTCCTTGTCAGGGATGGCACTTAAGTCATGACATCTTCTGAACGATCTGCTGAGGTCGCCAGCAGAACGGGTTGAACCGCACCAGCTACCTTTCGCAGGAGACGCCACTGTGTGAGGGTGCTTGTGGCCATGTCCAGGGTCGCGCTGCTTTATTCAGCATTCCAGATATTCCAGGATCCAGCTGAAGCTGTACGGACATGGCCTGAGTTGCAGAGCTGGCTTCAAAGCTGTCTGGTCTTGAACTCCCAAAGCCTCCAGACCACAAGAATGGCAGATTGCCACAAGCACTGCGAGCCATCCAGCAGCACGGCAAAGCACTGAGGGCTGCACAGCGTGCCCGTGCCATCTTCAAGCAGTTGGGAAATGTGACCGGGGAGCTGGAAGTGCCTCGGAGGAAGCATGAAAGCTCATTGCCTCCCTTTGTTGCAATTCAGTCTAGGTCATGGACACCTTGGCAAGAGCCCACATCCGCAAAGGAGAGGCCAAAGAAGGCATATCAGACTGCGCGTACCGCCTGGCAATAACTTCACAGCTCATCTGGTGCAGGGCTGCATGTGGCGGAAGACTTCTTGGCTGCTGCCAAGCAGGCATGCGCAACATTATGTAGGGCTTGCCGATCCGCACCTCCTGCAGCTGTCCGAATAGAGAGACTGCATGTGCTGAAGCAACGAGGAAGAAATGCATTTTTCAGCTCGTGGAGTCTTCCTCCAGATCCATCCCCAATGAGAGCCTTCCTCTTAACATCTTGTTGTTCTTATTGCGCTGACACATCTAGTTGCCTGGCCAGGGATGTGAGCGTAACCCATGTTAAGTTAAAAGAGGGCTGTATTCCGCCGCCACAACCAAGCAAACAGGCCATTCCTCTGGGTTTCCTGGCGGCATCGTCAAATTCGTGCCAGAGATTTCCCCACAACGGTTGCCAGGATCGTGGACCCTCCCATAAACGGATGGCAAATGTGCCGCTGAGGCTTGCAGCATTCGGATTGGGAGCTGGTAATTCGTGGCCAGCACTAGAAGATGTCAAGGAAACGGGAAGGGCTTGAGGAAGGCAGAGCACCGGGAGCTTACACGATAGGAAGGTGTGGCCTTCATGGGAAGCTTAGGGCACTTGCCCCATCGCCTCTACAAATCTCACAAGACGGAAGAAAGTATGCAAGTGCATAGCTGGATGTATCTTCTGCATGTTGGCTCTGTCTGATGCATATTGTTCAGGCCAGAGACAAACCAGCAGAGGCCAACACTCGATATCTCTTTGTCAACGTCACATTCTGGCATCTTCGTAGGCCGCTAGCTCCCCAACAGGCCAATGCACTGCTCGTCTCCTCGAGCGCTCTTGCCAGCGATGGCCGCCTGAGCGAAGCGCTTCGAACGGAGCCTGGAGAGTTTGCATCGGTAAGGATGAAGCAGTGCTAGAGACAAGTGGAGGCTAATGGAGGCTAGGTGCATCTTGTTTTTGTTTGTGGGCTCCAAGGCTCAGCAGAGGCAGCTAGATCATTGTACCGAGATTTAGGTGACTCGGCAGCAGTCGTATTTGTTGTTCCGAACCCAGTGCTTGATCAGCAGGTCATGCAGAAGGTCTCCAAGACTCCGAGCGCTTCCTTGGGGTTGTGCGCGATGCTCTGAAGGTGGCAGTGGCTGCAGTGGGCCGCAGAGAGGGAGAGAAAGAGAATCGATCGATAGGGGACACGGATGGACGACCATGGTTTTAGGTAAGTTTTCTGCAGCACGGTCCACCTCGGTTCCAACGTCGATCGCTAAGGCTACGGGGCACAGCCCCGATCTTCGTGAGGCGAGAGTGCAGCCTGCACGAGAAGAAGACAAACAAATAGAAGGATGGTCAATGCCCGAACTGAAGAAAGATGCTGAGGGAATTTGAAGAGTTGTTGTGACCATGCCCGTGCAGAATACGGTAAAAATGACCTAGCCCAGCGAAGCAAGAAGGCAGGGTAACCGGGAAACCCAACTCCATCCAGAACAAAATCGTCACCCTGACGGGTGTTCTTGATTGCTAGTTATTTCCGCAAATGATCGCACATGTGGCCTGCAGTAGTAAGCCTGTTTAGAGACCTTAATGAACGACCTACCCGAAGTCCAGAAGCAAGACCAATTTGCAGTTCTGAAGCAAGTCTTCAACGGAATCATATTAAACGTCTGAAGGGTCCGGGCTCGAGCCGTGGGTATACCCAGAAAGACGCGGAAGCCCAAACCGAAAGCCACCCCCGAAAAGACACCCCCGCGCTCTCCTCACTCTCCCCTCCTACAGGGCGCAAGTCTCTTTCTTACCTGTAGGCCCCTATCCTTTATAGACATCAGTACCCACCCCCAAGTCTCTGTTTTTCATCTGGCTCCAAACGACGGCACTCCTTTTACCTCTTTTGAAAGCACGGAAGACGGGACTCGGTTCCTCCATAATCAATGTAAACTTGTTCAGATTGTGATGCAGGTTATTTAAATTTACAGGAATCTCCAGAAGAGCACGGTCTTCAGTTTTCGGCTAAGGGATTAGTCTAACAAACAGCTGTCACCGAACAAATCATGTAAATGAACGCGGTTATCCCTTTTTGCATAGGTTGTTTGTACAATGAGCACGGGAATTTGTATGACATGCTGTCTGAATCACCAGGATTAAGAACTGTTTTATTCCGCGCACAGCTGGGTTTCACCAGAAAGTTTGCGCATGAGCTGATGGATTGCAATGCAGAACTGGTTGAGTTGGTAAGGGCATCTCACATCTAGGCAAGTGATTCCTCAGCGCTCTCTGTGTCAATGAGAAGTTGTGTGCAGAGAACGGAAATACATTGAATTCCAATCAAAACAAAATGGTGTCTGCGCATTTTTTCAGCGAGAATCGACGATGTTGCACATCTTATTCTCCGTCGCAAACATCTATACGAGACCCTACAACATATTTCATATTATGAGCTGTGAGGAAATGCGATGAATTGTGATACGAAAAGTTCTCCAGACATGTAATCTGCAATGGAAAGCAACAAGGCATGCATCTAGGCCTTGTTTGAAAGATCCAAGGGGGTGTCTGAATGGTGTTTTCCAAAAGCTGTAGGGGGATCCCCCATGTTGCAAGATAATATTACAAGGACGATTTTACGCCAGTAGATTTTCAGAGACCAGTGTGCATGAAGGATCATTGGGGATCATTGTGAATGAAACCCATGGATGTCGCTGTAACATGGCATTTGTGTTGAACTCTATAGGCGTTTGGAGCGAGTCTTGGTGTAAGCACAGTGGAGCATGGACATACAGGGGCTCCTCATCTAAATAAACTAGATGGGATGTACAGGAAGACGAAATCCGAAACGAATCAAGAAGATAAGCTCCATGCGACAATACTATTGCAAAAGCCTTGCTGAGAAATTAGGTTGGAATTGACTGGCCACCTGATTCCGCATTGGCAGGTCTTGTAAGAGCCTCGCTAGGAACTCGACAGTGTGGCTTTCCGTGTTAGCCTGCTCGCAATCTGAATGGTAGGTTATTGGCTGGGGTGAGATTGCAAATTATTGCTTGTTTGACTGCGGTGTGATGTCGAAGACGCCGCAGCCAAAATGCCGGATCATGTTCTCCCCAGGGGGTGTCGAGCTATCCCCGCGCTTGCAATGGCTGGCGAGCTCCCTTAGTCTGGAAGCTAGGACATGCATCCTGAATTGCGGTATCGTGTCCGTCATCGAAGCAAATGCTTGGGACTCGCCGGAACAGTTTCTGGATGCCTGCAGGGGAGAACATACCAGCGAATCAGCTCTTTCTGAGCTGCGTGCATTGTGGGATGCTGCTCAAGGCTCATGCAGGGCTGCGGTCAGACAGGCGATTCTCAAATCTGCAGATCCTGTAGCATGTAGCCCGGATCCCGTCGTTCATCACTCTCATCTTCCAATGGGCGCTGTAGGTGGTACTAAGATGCCAGAGCATGGCACAACAAAACGTCGCCGAATGCGGGCGGCTGAACCCGACGAAGTTGCACTGCACATGAACAGTTTGCAACTTCGCGAGAAAACAGCTGTCGAATCTGCATGTGCTGATCTGTGGCAGCTGTTCTTGGAGCTGGGTGAAAGTGGAAGCCAGTGGAAGGATTACAGTTCCTTGTGCGCCAGCGATAAGGACAAGTTCGCAACAATGTTTTTCGACACAATGTGCCTGGTTGCTATCACAACACTTCAATCTGCACTCCGTGTTATGCGAAAATGGAAGCGGCATTGTGGTGATTCTGGCATTTCCCCGTGGCAACCTTCTGCAGTCCACGTTGCTCTGTGGTTGCGGTCGCTGCGGGAGCATGGGCCGACAGCTCCACAAGGAGCGTACAACACCCTCAAGTGGCTGGAAAGGAAAGTTGGCATGTGCTTCCACTGCTGTCTGCCGCTCGTGCGAGATCAAGCAGCTGTGCCCCAGTCTCACATTGAAACCCAGGCTACTCCTCTTCTGCTGTCAGTGATTCTTGGCTTAGAGTGGCTTCTCTCAAGTCAAAATGATGCAGTGAAAGCGCTCGCTTTGACATGGCTGATGCTCACGTTTGCAGTCCTTCGCTTTGCGCACTTGCAACGCTCAACTATCCTGGAAGTGATGGAACATGGCATCGCAGCACGAGCTTCCCTTGGTAAACGCCGTACTCAAGGAAGGCGCAGGCCTTTTGAGTGGAGAGCACCAAGGAAAGGCATTACAAACGTGGATCTTGGCGTGGCTGTACACGCTTTTCTGAAGCGTGCATTTGTGAGCGCTTCACCTCAAAGTTTCTTTTTGCCGGACTTTCTGCCGAAACGTTGCGGGCTGGAATCTGCTACTGGCTTCGCGGGCAGGGCCATGTCTATCGGGCGATTCGCTCGTCTTAGTCAGCACATGTTCCAGCAACCCCCTTTTTCCATGTCTCAGATGGATTCTTCTGCACTGACGTCGTATTCAGCTCGACGTGTTCTTCCTACAATCGCTGAGCTGGCGCGTTTTGATCCCCATGAGCTGCTTCTGGTTGGGGACTGGAAAAGCAAAAGGGGCGGTCAGGAAGATCTCAGCATGCCTATGCGGTATGCAGACCAGAAAGAGCACACTAGTTTGGTTGTTAAAACAGAGTTGCCACGCATCATGCGTCGAGTTTTTCAATGCAACGCGCAAACCAATGCGAGCTGGGACAGACTTAGCAATCTGTTTCCTGCCCGCGACACTTCCCGGCGCTTGGCAAAAGCAGCTTTGCTAGAGAGGTCGTCTGCCTTGCGGGTCGATCAAGCTGACGATGTTCGAGCCGGTGAGCAAAGCTCTGGGTCTTCGTCGTCCGATGATTCCAGTTCTGACTCGTCTTCTTCCGTTTCAACGGATTCGAGTGAGCATGTGGACAGTTCCAATGTGCAGTGGCTTCTCAGCAAAGGTAGCCGGGGACACTTGCACTTGTGTAGGCCGCTGCAGCTGCAGGCCAAACGATGCCACACAGCGTGCAATCGCGGCCTATGCAGCCCTGAGTTGGGCACTGGCCTTGATGATGCTTTTAGTGCTGGCAAAGATTGATCACCAAGATGTTTTCAAAAACTTTCCGTGGAGTGCCGCCTTAGGTGGCAGAATCTTCGCACAAACGGCTCCTAGTGTTTCAGCAGATCAATGGTGCTAGTTCGTTGGGAGCTGCAGTGGCGCAGTTGCATACTGGATGCTCTGAAGCTGTGCCACTGTTTTGAAGTCTCCTGCGCCATCCGCTCAAAACAAGAGAATCGTGCTGATTCTGCTTGAGTTGCTGTCATGTTGAACACAAGCCATCAAGTTGAGCAATAATGCTCGCAATCTGAATGGTAGGTTATTGGCTGGGGTGAGATTGCAAATTATTGCTTGTTTGACTGCGGTGTGATGTCGAAGACGCCGCAGCCAAAATGCCGGATCATGTTCTCCCTCCCTGCTCCCGCCCGAACATGATATCATCATTTTTTCGGATTGGCCTTGCCACTGCGGCGGTCTCCGTGTACACGTGTCAAACCCATTGCGGGTGGCACTTGTGTGTAAATGTCCGGAATGCGTTGCGATTCCTTAGGCAAAACTGCTCATCTTCATCCTGCTTTGCTTTTGGCTGCAAGAATAAGGAGCCTTGTCGTAGTGTTCTAGCCGTTGATGCTGCAATGGCGGTCATGAAAGAGGACTTGAAGCTGCTTCTGAGACGCAACGGAGTCCATGACGATGTCTGTAACTGGCTGGCTGCGTCACCGCAGGATTGCCATGACATCAAAGTCTTTGCTAATATCGTCGACGAAGCCAATCAGCTCAAGTCCACGGTGTTGAGTCACACTAGTCAAAAAGACAACATTGGCCAATTGGCCAGGCTCAAGCAAGCTTGGAAAGAAGCAGATGGCGTCAACCAGACAAGGCTCAAGCGACTTGGGCAGGGCATCGCAGAGGATGCTTTGGACGAGCCCTTGGACGCAGAGACCCGCCGGTCCAAGTACACCGTGTTCCAGAACTTTTACCAGTGGACACTGAAAGCCCGCGAAATGGTTTGCGATTCACTCCTTGGAAGGCTTGTTCGGGAGTTTGAAGCAGGACAGCCGTCCATGTTCGCGGTGCTTCGCGCTAGGAGCGTTGCCAATGCACAGCGCTCTCAGCCAACCAAGAAGCATCGCATTTCTGACACGGTGCAGATCAATGTAGCTCACGCCGAGGATGATGTTTCCGTGCTGGAAGACACGTCCAGACTGCGGACTTATTTTGCCTGCTTCCGTACACTGGGAACTGGTTGGGCAGTTGCCGGGTGCTACGATGTCTCCTATGAGGGAAAGCAAATGAAGTTCTGTCACTGGCAGGACGTCTGTACCTACATAGGCCACCTTGAAGGAAAAGCGTGGAGCGCAGTCGAGTCCTTCCCCGAGGATCTGGTGCTTGCGTACATCCTGCAGACAGAGGAAAAAATCCGGGCTACAGCGATTGAACGATGCCGGAATGAAGGCATGCCGTGGGGCCGTGCTCTTCTTCAAGCCTGGAAGGATGAAGCCGAACTGTGGCCAGATGCCAAAGATGAGTGGTTGATGCGTCGCTTTTCGGTTCGCAGGACAGGGGCCAAAGACGAGTCCCTGAAACCCTCTCAGCCTGTCACTTCTGCAGCTTCAAAGATCAAGCCTGCTACAGCGACCATGCTGCCGAACGGTGCAGAGATATGCAAGCGTCGTAACGATGCTCGCGGGTGCCCGGGAGCAAAGTGCCCGCAAGGTAAGGCCCACTGCTGTGACGTGTTGTTAGCTACCGGTGCTGTTTGTGCTAGCACCGCACACGCCAGAGCTGAGCACGACCCCACCAAGCATGGGCAAGTAACCCCTTTCACCAAAGCCTGACTTGCAGAGCCACCCGCATCCTTTAACCCTGGGGTTGTGGATGATGCTCTAGATAGGCAGGGTTGTTTGGTTTTGTTCGAACTGTCGGGTGGTTGTTTGCCGTTCGCTACAGTCTTGCATGCCAGTTGCGATGCCCGTCTCGAGGCTGTGTATTTCTGCGCAGACAGTTCCGACGAGCAGCTCATTGCTGCTACCAATTTTCCAAGCAGTACGTTTTTAGGCTGCCTTGAAGACACCAGTAGCAAACTTGTTGAAAGGCACGTACAGAAGCATCCACAAAGCTCTTTCATCGTTGCATTTGCTTTGTCTTGCGTGAGCCAGTCAGAATTTTTCCAGGCACTTAGAATTGTGCAGATTCTTGAGTCTTTGGCGCCGGGACGCACGTCTTTCGTGCTTGGAGGGATGTCTCAAATCCGCATGCCTGGGCCAGATTCCCCGCGTAATCATGTTTTTGCATTGCAAAGTACTGGTGCCTGCGCCTTCTCGTCTCTCAGCTGGTGGTGCGTGAGCTCCCTTCCGTCGTGGCGCTGCAAAACCATCTGGTCTGTAGACAGCTTCGGCTGTCCGTGTGCTCAGCCGATACAAATGTCAGCATCATTCCACGATTGTTTGTGTGAGGGCTGGGAACTTCCCGAGCGCAGCATTCATAAGCCTTCGGTGCCTTGGGTTCTCTTGCCCGGCCGCATAGGGGTTGTTTGTTCTCGCACAGGCCGCAGCCGAGGCCTCGTCGCGCAAGAATGGGAAGCCGTGCTCGGCTTTTCTACATCGCACACAGCTGCTCTTCTACAGTCAGAGACGAAGCAAGGCACTGATAGGAAAGGCGTAGAAGGTAGGAGAATCCGCGCCTTGTTTCATGCAGTGCCGGCGTGCGTTGTAAAACTCGTCTTGCAACCATTTTCCCATGGTTAGGGCTTCGATGCGTCACCATCACGGCATTTGCCGTGCCTAGTTTCGGATGTGGATCAGCCGTGCCGAGAGGTCTTGGAAGATCTCCGTGTAGCCTGCCCGTACTTGCAAGACAGGTTGCTGAGGAACATGCCTGCTCAAGAGTTTGAAGGACCAGATTGGGCGGACATGCGCTCGCATCAGGCTGCTAGGTTGGCCAGTTGTGTTCAGCATAAAGATGATGGTTTTGCAGTGTCTCAGCGCAGGCTCTTACCCTACGGCTTGCCTCCGGAAGTGCATGCGATGCTAGCTGAAGCCGTGTCATCACCGTTTGAAGCTGAAGTCCCTTTGGGTGACGACCTAGATTTTGCCATACGGACTGTTGTTGCAGAAGGAACAAATATTCGAGCTTGGCGCCAAAGACAGTGGCGCCACTTGTGCCAGCACCTCAGAAAAATTCAGCCGTTGACAGAGTCGCTGGAGGCCCGACGCTCTGCGTCTTCTCAGAGAGTCAGTGCTCATTTATCGCCAGGTTATCTTGAAGCGTTGAGGTACAGTATCAGATGGCCCGACACTCAGGTGGCAACCGCATTATGCGAAGGTGCGGAAATTGTGGGCGAATTGCCAACATTCGGCATCTATCGCAAGACTGAACACAGTACTCCATCTATGTCTTGCTTCAGCCAAGATGATAATGAGCGGTGGCTGCAAGAGGTTCTTCAACGCAAGCCCCCTCCGCCGGAAGAAGCCCAGGTTGTGTGGAATAAATCTGAAGCTGAGCGCCAATTAGGCATCTTGGAAGGATGGATGCAGCCAGAAGACTTGCGCAAACGTTTTGGCCAGTACCAGTGGCGCCCTATGGTACGAAAAGCTGTGTGGCAGCCGAACCATGGTGCATACCGTTGCATAGACAATGCAAAGTCCAGCGAACACAATCTGTGCACCAGTGCTGAAGAGCGCATTCACACAACTTCTGTAGACATGGGAATTTCTATTTGTCAACGGTTTAGGAAGTTGTTGCAAAAACCCTTAGAACAGTCCTGCGCGCTGCAGTCTGCCACCAAGGACATGAAGCGGGCTTACCGACAAGTCCCTGTTCACACGAAGCACCTTTGTTTCTCAGTCATTGCGATCTGGCATCCCAAGCAGCATAAGTGGGTGTTCGGAATTTTGCATGGCCTTGCATTCGGCCTTTTGGCCGCGGTAGTGCAGTTCAACAGGTTTCCGGCTTTGATAGTGGCGTTAGCTCGCAGATGGCTAGCGGTGCCTGTCATCAATTTCTTTGATGATTTCAAAATTACGGAACCAGCCTTCGCCAAGGCCTCAGGTGGCGTCTACTTTGACAAGTTAGTGTCATTGCTGGGTTGGCTCTTTGATTCTGAAAAACACCGACCGTTTTCTCCCATCGCAAGATTCTTGGGGGGCCTAGAAACATACAGGCCCGATGAAGTTGCCTTACAGCCGCTGCCCGAGCGGGAGCATGCAATCCAGAGTCAGTTGATTCAAGCAATTCAGAGTCAGAAGCTGAGTCCGTCAGACGCTCGTGCATTGAGTGGAAAGTTGGTCCATTTCGCATGCTTCTTTTTGGGCCGTATTGGCAGGGGACAGACACATGCCCTGATCTGTCAGGGTCAAGGCACCACATCGCGTGTCTCATTCCACTTGACCCTGAGCTTGCAGTTCTACTTGTGGTTGTTGCGAGCCAAGCCGTACAGAAATGTGCCCTTGTCAACCAGCCATATGCACAGACGCACCGTTTACACTGATGCATCTTGTGAGACATGTCCTCCGCTTGTGAGACCAGTTGTTCAAGTTTCTTGGCTCATTTTGGACACTGCCGGCTCAATTGCTGTAGGAGGGTTCACCGTTGTGCCCGATCACGTGCTTCAATCCTTTCAGGAAAGAAGCACATACATTGCACAAGGTGAGGCATTCGGGCCGCTGCTTGCAGTCCACTTCCATGCTGATGTCTTAGCCTGCTCTCACAACATTTTTTTCATAGATAATCTTGGGGTTCTGTCTGCCTTAATTTCTGGTAGGGCGCGCATCGCAGATTTTGGATTCGTCATTCACGCCTTCCATTTGAGCATTGCGCATTTGCGCTCCACATGCTGGTTCGAACATGTTGAGTCGCCGGCAAATCCTGCCGATGGTGGCTCCAGAGTGGGCGCGGCCTGCCCCATAGCCAGACAATTGGGCATTGAGCTCCGTCGCTATCAGTTTCCAACTTGGCCGAAAGATGTTCTGCGCGCCAGCCCGTCAGAGTGGCTTAATCATCTGCAGTGGCATTGAAGACATTTTCCATAAGACTCTCAGCGAACTCGTGCATTCAGGCATCTCGAGAGCTCGATTTGCTTTGTTCGCTCTTGAGGGTAACCATCACGGTTCCTACAGGGAGCTGCAGTGGCGCAGTTGCATACTGGATGCTCTGAAGCTGTGCCACTGTTTTGAAGTCTCCTGCGCCATCCGCTCAAAACAAGAGAAGCGTGCTGATTCTGCTTGAGTTGCTGTCATGTTGAACACAAGCCATCAAGTTGAGCAATAATTGGTGTAAATGCAACGGGTTTACAAGGGCTCCCATAATATTAGATTAGATAGGAGACATGTGGTACAAGTCGGGAAGTGGTGATATCTCAAAGGATGGACAAACATTTCCCGAAGTGCACCCGGTAGAAAGTGCCAAGGAACTCTGCGATTGCAAGCCTAATGGCAGAAACCCTGTGAATCAGCGAAAGAAATCCTACAATGGAACGGGCAGCAGGAAGGTCGTGTGAAACCCTGATATCATAGAATATCTGACTAGAAAGCCGTATGTAGTGAAGGTTGACATGCGCATTTGTTTGAAATCCCACTGATAAAAGTGGACATGCAAACCAGAGCTGCCAAATAGGGTACTAGTTTGCTGCAGGCTCAAATGGAAGCCTAGCCATATCATCCTATCTCGGCAAACTCGAAAAATTAGCCAAAAGCCGTCTATTTCCTCGAGAAAAGCAGGTTCTCTTCAAGAAAGGAACGCTAACATGCATCTAAAGGCATTCCAAGTCCGTTCTGGGGACTTCAGCCAACATCACGGTTTTCCACTGACGTTGGGAAGGCTTGAAAAGCTGATAGGCTACCTTGGAGCTCAGCTGTTGGGTCTAGAAGAAGCGTTTACAGGCCTTGGCCTTTGTGAGTGCCTCACATAAATTGCTTCGACCAGGCCAAAAGCTCAAAGCATGCCAAACCAGCTTGCAGGAAATCGGCCATCGTGCCGGCAATGGCAGCTTTGGCAACGGGAACAGCGGCAACAGCTACAATGGCAAAGGCAGCTACAGCAATGGACACCAGGGCAACGGCAGTGCAACTGCGCCACAACGAGGCTTTGCTGAAATCATATGCTGCATTTCTTTCCTCTGTCCATGCCCGAAGGTCCATCCAAATTTGGTTTCTCAGCCATAGAGGAGCCTGGCAGCCAGCACATTGCAAACTCCTTTGTAGCATGGCAAAGCAGCTGCAAAATGCCAAGGTCAGCAGATGACAATTCTGCTAGTCTCATCACTGGCGAACGTGCAGTGCCAAGCCCTGTAACTAGTAACAGGCGATACAAGCATGGATGGGAGATGATGGGAGATCCGGCCTTGGATCTCAGGTCGTGGGGTTGCTCAAGTTGTGAACCCCACCCCGCTGTACAACCGCAAGGTGCCAGGACGATTCAGGAAGTATGATGTTTCTAATTTCGTTGTACCCACTTGTGTTGCATGCCATGGTGATCCGTAGTGCAGATTGCAGAAAAAATCAGCCTCAACACTCTGGTGGCAGGCTTTCCCATGGACACCGCAGCAGGCGGACAAGGTCTCGAGTTGCGTTTACCCTGCACAGTTTTTGGCTCGACGGAGGTAGGCATGTGCAGCGTCCCCTTTCTGAAGTCCATGCCTTGTTATCGGCAGCATTGGGGTTCAAGGAATGAGCGATGCGTACGTACAAGTAGTGGTCTAGTGTGGAGACCCACCATATGACTAAGGCTGAGCCCTCATGTCAGGTCTGAAGCAGCCAGAGCAATTCGCGACAGTTCGCGTTTGGGAGGAGCTTGCCGGCATTTGTCGGGTTTGTCGGGCGTGGATGAGGCCAGCTCTAGACACCTGATCTCGAAAGCCGACGTTTCACCTTATACACTTTGAAAATCACAGACAAATGGCCAACGCGCCTTCCCGGCCTTGAGGTGTAGGCAACGGCAACGGCAACGGCCGGGAGTCGGGCCATGCAAAGCATTGCTGATGTGGGCTCATCCCTGTACAGATTTTGTGCTGCTAGTCGCGGCTAGTCACCTAAGGATGGCATGATCAAAGAAAGAGCGTTGAGCCATGCCAGCTTCCTCGAGCCTGGGAGTGTCAGGGGAGATTTGGCCAAGCATTTCACGAAAACGGAGTTGCAATGCTCTTGTCCTGCAGGTTTCGAGTCAATGCGCAACAAGACCAATGACAGGAATCTGAGAGCCGAGATGATGAGTCATCCAGGCCACACAGTTTTAATAAGTTGTAGGCTGTAGGATCCGTAGGTGCTTCAGTTGAGATCGCCGACTTCCTGGTCATGAAGGAGCCCAGCGAGGGCAAGGAGCGATCCGTAGCGTGTCCGTGAAGCATTTAAGCTCAGCTGGCTGCTCCCATGCGCTTGCCATGAGCAGAGGCAGCGGATTCTTGCGCAGAAAGGAACTTCTGCCCTTGCAGTGCTATGAACATGTCCGCTTGATAAGACCTCCTTTGATTCTGAATGGGCCGCTGCCTGCAGCCATGCTTGCACTGAAGCAAGCTGGACACCTTGCGGGGACGAACACCCCTGGCCCCCGCTTCATGAGCTACTGATAGTGAATGTTGCTGCTGGCAAGACTTCAAGGCGCGCCTAGCTTTTTTAGCAAGACTCTTGCAGCCTGACTTATACGACTGAAGCGATGTCACTAGCATGGCAGATTCGCTTGTAGCCTTTGAAGGTGCTCATCCCCAAGGCAATGTGGAACACATGCTGGATGGCCCTGATTGCATGTGGTTCGGGCCTTGGTCACTGTGCTTGACGATCAGTGAAGACATCTAGGGACATCTCAAGACCTGTCGGTCCTTTGCTGTTTTGGTGTTCCGGCTTCTTTCCTGCCAATCTGTTATTCGTTGTTTGTTCGGTTCTTTTTTCTCCCTCTGGTTGCTTGCCGAGTGCTTTTGCAGCTGCTCGTGAGTCTCTTTCCTGCCCCATCTTGCTTTGCTTTGTGGAGCCTGGATGAGGGACCACGCTGCCATGATTTGCGTTGAAAGAAGGAAGAGAGCTCTCTCTCTCTCTCCCTCTCTCTCCCTCTCACTCCCTCTCACTCCCTTGAATCCTTGCAGTTCCTAAAGGCCAACTGCAGGAGCCACAGAACCTCAAAGGTGAAATTGAGGGACATTTTCAAGGGGCCTCAGGCTCCAAAGAAGCACGAATCCCGTTCTGGTAGCTCGTCGTGGGCTGAAAAATGCCGGAAGACATGGCTGCGCGAAGGGCTGGATAGGTAATCAAGCCACAAGGGGCTTGCTCCAGACAAGAAAAAGTCCAGCTCCAGCAGTGGAAGCCCTGGCCGGATCCAGACTAAAACAAGCCGTTGCTTCCGCTTCAACCATTCACCACTCCAAAGCTTGATAGCAACAGTCCAAGCTAGCAGACCCGGGCATCCGCTAAGGCAGCATGCTCTTAATTTCAGGTGGCATGCAATCAATGTTCTGTGTGAGCCACACAAGTGCCGCTTCTTATGCAGCCACCAGGATCACGCAGGCTTCAGGGGCTTGCAAGCTCTAGGGAGTGGGTTGAGGGATGTTGAGGGCTTACTGACTTGTTGCTGAGTGATGCTTATTTGTACAGATTCACTTTTGCAAGGTGAAGCTCCAGCAATGGATTTTCAGTTTTCTTGATGTGGGTCAGCCTGCTGTATTTACAAGCACGGTTAGCACTACCTGCACAACCTCTAAACTGAATGAATATTTTGTATGCCCGACAGAGGAGCTTTGGCGACAACTGACAGGAATGACTGAACATGATAAATTACATTCACGTTGTGACCTTGTTTAGTGTTTGAAGGTGCCATGGGACAGGTGCTCGATGATGGTGGGAGCCTCAACAGAAGTTGAACAAATGCCTTTGAGTGCTGCGCCACCTATCTTCACATGGTGCAAGCATGTGCAAGAAGTAATGTCGTCTGCCTCTCACTGGCATATGCCGCTATGCGTCATTGATCATGCACGGGTTCTGCAACAAATTGGGATGGTTTCATCTGATTGTCCCGTGGTATAAGGATGCCCAAGCTTGTCCCTGCCATGGGCTCGGACGTCATCTAGGGCGCTTGGGTTTGGTAAAAGATTTCGTAAGGCTTCAGACGACCATGTCCACGCGAAGGGCGCTGCAGGAGGGATTCACCATCAGAACAAAAGGTTCTTGCCTGCTAGGGTCAAGCAGATGTGAGGTGTCCTGGTCTCCACAGCTTGAGAGCGATGCAGGGATCCGCCGGAGCAACCTTACCTGGTGTTGGGGTGGTCTCTGGGCACGACCACGTTACATGCAAAAGCAGGACTGATGTGCAGCTGCGCTTGGAGAACTCCCATTTGAAGGGTGCGTCCAGCTCTCAGACAAATTGCGGCCGAGGATATCCACACCAGCTTGTATGAAGAGGCTTCGAAGTCAGATTCTTCAGCTTTCCGAGACTGTACATCAGAGGCAATGGATGGCACTGCTTTTTACACCATGACTGGTAGTGAGATTTCCTCCAATGGTGTGGACAGAGGTACGTTTGCGGCAAGTGCCTTGAGATGATTTGACACTAGTCTCGAGTCTTTTCTGCGGCGTACAGCCTATTCGTGCATGCTTGCAGAGCTGGGTGGGGCACTTCAGCCTAATGATATCGTCCCGCCCATAAAATATGTAACATCTTATCATTGATGATGAGCTGTTTTTGACTTTGCACCAGTCGTGGGTGCGAAGCACGGGCTGCACAGCTGGGCTGGATGTGAGATACATTTGAGGATTAGGCCAGGACAAGTGAGGGACATCCAGAGGACCTGTCTGGGACAAACGAAGTGGCGACTCCTTTAGCACGTGCAACAAGGATCGCGTGGCATGTGCAAGGTTCCTCTGGATAGCTGGAGTTTGCAAGTACCAAGAAGTTTGGTGGCTGGCTTCTTTTGCCCGATCCACATCAGGGGTGAGGTTACTAATCATGCGGTGAGTGTGACGCAAAGATCATACTCGAATCTGCAGCCTGGGGTGCTCTACCTCTACCTTACCCAACTTGTTTGATGTTCAGGACAGGTTTTGTTTCCTTGGGCCTGCAGGATGAAACTGCAGTGTGGGAGGCGATGCAATCAGGGCTTGCGTCGGCTCCTCTTTTGTGAGAAGGGCACGTGAGCACGCATACTGCGGACTTCAAGTGCTGGGTCCGTTTCCAGGGTTCGACCCAGGACGTTCGCAAGCCTTGAGCTAGAGACCTTGCGGTCTTTCTTCCAGAAGTCAGGCTGGGTGGACCCTCCGCGGCATCGTCCGCGTCGCAAGTCTTCCGATATCTTCAGCGGAATGTCGGCGCGGACTTTGATGTTGATCACTTTCTTCTTAAGGCTTTCCGGCTGCATGCGCCTGGCTATGTGCAAGGGCAGCGTGCTGAACTACAGTCATGGGTGTTTCTTAACATGCTGTCTTTCCCGCCCTCTCTGACGGAATGGTTCGTTGATAAGAAAGCAAGTAGCGTATGTAGTGTCAGCCGCCATAACCGGCTCGAGCAAGAAAGGCGATGTTCATGAGATAGCGCATGTTGGCGTGACCGTGCGGTACCTTCAGAACTTCAACGCCTATTAAACGGATAGACTCATCCAGCAATCCTGGATGGTATGTCCAGAGGAGGATTGACCTGTGCCCAGAGCCAGGCTCAGGGATGGTCGCTTCGTGAATACTCGTTCCGTCGGCAGGTTTTCCGTTCGGAGCTGCAACAGCATCTCCTCATGCTCTCCTTGGATGAGACGGTCCATGCATCTGACTGAGAAACAGTGGGTGTGTCCAAGACTGCATCCTTTGCGAATGCTTGCATTTGATCACTTCTGGCCCTGTCGCTTTATGTTTTCTGTCCGAAAGTCGAGCAATGGACCTGTGGTTCTGAAAAGTGAAGCTATTGTCCAATTGTGCCCTCACAAAGCAATGTGCCCAAGCCAGCTGACGACGAAAAAAGCTAGCGCAGTAAATTCCGGGCAAGAAGCTTAGCTACAGCGTGCACGGTTCACGCTAGTGACCAGTAGTTTGATATGTACCCAGTTCTGTTGCAGGCTGAGCAGCCGCAGCTTGCGCAGTACTGACTTTCGGAGGGCCTGGCACTTTGCACTGGGCAGGTGTGCAAGGCACAACATTTATTGTTGTTAAGTTTGGGACACGTTTTTTGTGGCTGTGAATCGAACAGTCAGTGATGCAAGTGATTGGAAATGTTTTGGGGCTGAGTTCGTGAGATTCAGCAGAGCTGGTGCCGCCTAGCTATCCTTGCAGCCATGTGGTCTTTCTCATGAAGCAGCTCCGTTGAAGAGCTGTGCTGCCAGGAAGCCGCTGCCCATGACGCTACTTGCAGAGAACCTCAGCAAGATTTTAGCCATGTCCGTGTAGCGCTCGCACTGACGGATATTCGACTCAGTAAGGTCGCTGCCGTGCTAGCATGCATTTACTTCTTGATCTACATGGTGCATCTCGTTGCTACTTGACACAAGCATTGGCTACGTTGTGTTTGGCGTCCAGCAACTTATGCCGAGGCTTTTTTTGGCCGGAGAAATCGCATTAAAGCTAGCAACCGTCGCAAGCGGCATTTCGAAGGCAAGTCATCACAAGTCTTGCGTGAGTCTGGCAAACGGCCGGCATTGCTTCTGTGCAGTACCGGAACCTCTTCCTGACTTTTCCGAGTGCTCGGAGGAAATGAACGCAAGGTCACACCCAGAGTTTTGAACGCTTGGCGGGTTGCACCTCCAACCTGCTGCGACTTTGCTCTTTGCCAGGTTCCTCTGCAACATGCGCCGCATAACAGTATGCGACTTACTCTTGAGGAGAGAGTGGCAGTCCTGCATCAAGTTTTTTCAGAAGAGCTGACACCACGAGGTGAAGCGCTTCTTCCTTGTCATTACGCTTGCAACAGCAGGCCACGCAATCCTGTTGAGGAAGTCTTCTGTTGCAGCTTCACCGACAGTCTCTCATTGCAATGTTGAGGTTGGTTCAAACTTCTCCTTAACCAGTGACTGTCCCTTCCATGCAAGATTTGTGAATGTTGCTTGTCCTCAGAGGTGGCTGCTACTTGATGCGCGAGGGCTATTTTGATAGCATCAAGGACAAGTGGCTTTCTCAGTTGGGACATGTATACTGCAAGCAAGAGACACTGAAAGATCCTGTATACGCAGCTGCGCGAAACACGTACGAATACGTACGACAGCATCGGCCTGCGATGCTTGCGTGCTGCAAGAAGCAGTCAACGTAATCAAATGAAGGAGAGAAGCCACACTCAGTAAACAGCGGCAACATTCAGCAAACAAACGTCAACAACGCGAAGGTGGCATTCAAAAACGAGGGCACCAGATTCAAAAACAGCAGCAGCGAATTCAAAAACAGCAGCGTCGCATTCAGAAAACAGGAGGTCGGGAGTCAACAACTGCACCGCCCCACCCCGACAATAGAGAGAGGGTCATCGACTCCAAACAGAACTCTCAGGACACTCCAGGTTCCGCGGTTCCAAGCAGAAATCTCAGGACTCTGTAGGGATTTGGGCCTCTTAGGGTTAAGGGCTCTTCTCGGTAAGTTTGGCATCTTTGGGTGCGCCAGGCGTTTGCAGCCACGTGTTGACCTCAGCAGCCCAGTGGGCATCCGTTTACTCGCCTCAACGCCGTAAAATACGCGCATCAATGTTTGCAAGCGCACGAAAAGAGTCCTCGACGGGCTTGCACTTCACATGCGAGCTGTGCGCTTGCGGGTATGTCTTCGGCCTCTAGCTTGTTCTAGTCTTGAACGTCCTCACGTCCGCACTAGCAGAAACAACTAAGCAGATACTTGAGGCCGTAGTCGTACGCGAGCTTTTTCAATGCTGATTTCTTTTTTGGGCACGGGCAGAATCCGGAAACGAAGGAGGAAGAGCCTAGCAGGCGAGACAGACGTGATCGTACGTTTTCAGGGGCATTTTCCGGATCTGGCTGCGGTGTTTTCCGAATCTGGCTGCGGCGTTTTCCGAATGCGGAAATTTTTGTAATATTGAATTTTCTTTGTCCGTGCAAGTAGAATCCGGAAACGAAGGAAGCAGAGTCTAGTAGGCGAGGTACGTGGCGTTTTCCGAATCTGGCTGCGGCGTCTTCCGAATGGCTTTTTGTAATATGGAATTTCCTTCTGTTTCGCAGGAGTAGAATCCGATAATCCGGAAACGAAGGAAGAAGAGCCTAGCACGCGAGACAGACGTGATCGTACGTTTTCAGGGTTGTTTTCCGGATCTGGCTGCGGCCTTATCCGAATGTGGCTGCGGTGTTGTCCGAATGCGGGCTTTCTCTAATGTTAAAGTTTCTTATTTTCGCACGGGCAGAATCCGGAAGCAAAGGAAGAAGCTTCGAGTAAACGAAAAGACGTGGTTGTACGTTTTCAGGTGCATTTTCCAAATCGTTTTCGACTCCCTCCTAGCGTTTTCTGAATGTGTCCAACGCGTTTTCGAATGTGTTTGCTGAATGCGGCGTTGCCCTGAAATAAAATAAAGATACCACATAGCAGTGATGTACAGAAGGGTATGGGCAGCGACCGTCCAAAGTACCGGGTCTGACAAACGAAATCTCTGTGAACATGTGTTGTCGGCACTTAATTATTTGTGTTCCTCAAGGAATGCTAGCAATGTTGTTTCTTTTGTACGCACCTGCTCATGGCGTGGCAGCGGTGCAGGTTAGTTCCCTTCGTGTACCTTGGCCTGGTCATCATCATGATACTGCAAGTCAGGGTCCCGGGTGTGTCTTCATTCTGAGAGACTTGCCCAAGGTGCGAGTCTGATATCCCTGGAACACTGTCACCGGTGTACTTTGCTGTTTCTGTGGGCATCTTGCGGCATGTGGGTCTTGGGCGACAAAGCTCTGGAGCAGTCCTGGGAACACTTCCCGTTCCTTTTGACAGGCATCTACTGCGAGGGTCACCAAATACATATCCGAATACTAAGTGACTGGAAGGCACTATGCTAAGAGCAAGGACTGATTTTGCAAGTAAGCGTTTCTCAAATTGGGGTTCCCTCGTCATCCTCAAACTGAAGAGATCTATTATGATGGGGCGCCAAAATCAGAAGCGGCTTACCTCAAGCATTGCGAATCTCGTAACCCCACAAGCAGCCTCCCAACACGAACGCTTGGTACTCACATTCACGCATTAACCATGAGGTTCTCATTTCGGCGGTGCCGCCCTGAGGACATAAATCTTCCGCGAAGAAAAGCCGTTTGAGATTTCCCAGTTGACTTATTGTCCTATCTTCCGACACGGGCTGATCCATGCTGATTCGTTGACGGTTTGCAGGCTTGGAACGGCATCGGTGCTTACATGGAGGCAAGCCATGGCTGACATGTAGGCTGAGGATGCTGAGAGCTTTGAATTTGGTCGTGATGCTCGTCGGGGAAACCATGGCACTCATGTGAACTCATTTCCTGACGCAGCCGATTTGGCGCTTCAACGCCGTGATGCAGGCAGGAGCCACGCAGAACGGACTTATTTGCAAGAGCGTTGTAAGGGATTTTGAAGTCGGGTGAGAACGCATTAGAACCTAAAGGGCCTAAGATTGCATCAGTCTCGCGTCTTTTCGATAGTATATAAATGCAATGTTTGGTGCCACAGATTCGCTTAAAAGACAGCCGACAGCCGCATCTCAGTGCTGCACGGCAGGCTGTATGAGTATTGCTTCTAGATCCTTTCCATAGGCTTCAGAAGTCGTGTGCATGTACTCGCAGCCGCTATCAGCTGTCAGCCATAAGCTTCAACGCATGTGCTTGTTAGCAGGGGGAGCTGTCCATGCATGTCCAAACTTTCTAGTGCTTGTTGACAATTTTATGTAAAGACCTTGAGAAAAATGGGCCACCGCCATTCTCGCGTGGATTCGTCTCAAGTGTCGAGGCGGGTAGCTGCTGACGCGGACGATGTACATTGCGCAGCACAAGCAATCAGAGATTCCACTCCGAACATCCTGTTGCAGTGCCGGAGCAAGACGACGTCAATGGAAAACCTCTGAAAGCACACATGAAAAATGCATGTCAGGTCACGACCTGTTGGCGCTTCCTTCGAAAGCATTTCCAGGTCCGATTCGACCAGCAAGGCCAGCAAGGCCGCGAAGCTCATGAAGCAGTGACACCAGATGAAACAAGCGAGAAAAAGAGATTTTTGAGCCAGGAGGAGCCATCGACTCCCTCTGTGAAGGCCTGGCAATGCTTTGAACGCGTTTTCAGTTTGCTACAGGAAATGTGCCTCGTCCCAAAAAACGGTCCAGGGACCATCGCCTGGCAGGTGAAGTATCCCTTCCGATGTGAGGATCGTAACAAGATCCCTGACGAGCTTCTGGAAGGCCGCAACAAAAGCCTGACTTCACTCATTAGAGCTGGACTGTAGATTGTCGGGACCAGTGAACACTTAGGAAGGGGCCATGGGGCAGGGGATGGTTGGGCTGAGGCCCCAACATGGCCCAACATGCATGTTTTGACATGTTTTGACTACGGAGTTCCGGGATTTTCTAGGATTCGGTCTGCGGAGATCGCACTGGTAGGCCAAATTGCGAAGGTCCGTTTGATGACTTCCAGATCGCTGAAGATGTTTATGCCACTTTCTACTTGCTTGCGAGAAATGCCACGCCGGAAATGTCTCCTGGCTGGTTGGAGCCCGCCTGTTTCAGCACGTGAGTGTCCACCTGCTCAGTATGAGGTACAGCATATCCCCTTTCCGAAATCCAGACGTACCCTGGCCAAAAGACCCGGAAACTGAATATGACTGAGTTCCCTTCGCACTTGGATGCTTTGCTAGGGGTTGAGTTTGAGGCTGATGGATGTAGAGAGTTCTAGGCAGGATGCAGCATGGGTATGGATGCTATTCGCAAGAGCAGTTTCACGCAGACGCAGGTGTGCCAAGGCCAATGGAGTAGCTTCAAAGCATGTCAAGGTGATTACACATTCGCTGCCAGAATGCTTCTCGTGCAGCTGCTGCAGGTTCGCATTGCATGGCTTTATTTGTTGTTCATTGCTGGCTCGCAGATCTTTGTCATCACGGCCATTACGGCGGCTTTGCAGCATGTGCCAGCTGAAGCAAATACAAAAAACAACTTGGCCACGCCGAGCGCGTAGGGTTCCGGCGCGTGACTCCTTGCGTGCATAGAACATCAACCCGTGACCAAGGTTCTTTATCCGCCTGCTGTAACTGGTATGCAAATGGTAGACCGCGTTCGCAGACCCCAACTCACATGCATCTTCAATGACTGTCTAAGCCTGAGCTGTATAGCCCACGGAGGACAGCTCAGGTTCAGCAGGACATGGCCTTTGTCAACTGTCAGAATGCAACCGCTGTGGCTGCGTTGCATGCGCGAGGCATGACCGTCCATGACGTAATGCGATGCGAAGCTGTAAAGCCAAGCATGCCAGGTTTTCTCAGCTCATCCACCAGCGAATCATGCGAGGAATGGGCCGTTGGGTAGGATGTTCGAAACGAATCGCTGTGAGCCTTTGAACTTATTAAGATCTGAAGCTGATCTTCTGGAGTCGGCATTCCTTTTGATAGGCAAATGGACTGCATGTCATGTGTGCGGATTCAGTGCTTCGGACTCTGTTGATTAAGAACTGGGAAGCAACATCTCTGCAGGAGGGCGCGCAGTCTGCGTCAAGACCCCAAACACGTGTACGGGACGAGTGCCATCAAGCGCAACGGCAGCTGAGGTTCGAAGCAGATGTTCGTGGTGAGACTGTACTCATCTCTCAGGTCAGCCATGCGACTGAGTTCTATCATGCTGCGCAGGGCTCAGCAAGCTTGAAAAGTCTGATGGAAACAGCGCGGGGGGTGCGGCGATGACTTTCAAGTGCCAGTCTCTGCGACAGTGTTGGGGCGCATTTGAGTTCCCCGGTTTATGGCGTTGAAGGTCCTGTCTGCCAAGGCAACATCTAAAACAAGAGAGCTGCGTACCCTGAAGCTCCACATGAAATGTCGTAAGCTCCTAAGCTCCTGAGCTCAGCTTTCTCCCTCTCTCTCCCTCTCTATCTAAGTCCTGCATAAACCTGCGCCTGTTCAATCCTCAATAAACTAAGCACCGAAGAAATCGGACTGGACCCCAACAGGTGGAACTGGACCTCTTTTGGGTGTTGGCTGGATTTGCCTTGTTTCAATCATCACATATCCCGGAATGCAGGTGGCCTCCTTGCATTCGCATGGCTTACGATTTGAGCCTCCAAACCTAAGCGCAATGATGTCAATCATCAACCTGTGGGGCAACGCATGCCAAAAGTCAAAGCGGCTGCATGAGTTGAGCGTGGCTGGGACGGGCAATGACGAGCATGAGGTGTTGGCTTCTGGGAACTATGTGGTGCTGATTTTACGACTGGTGTGTTGCACATGGGTGTTCTCTCAGGCGGGGGTTGGTGCACATCAGGTTTCTCTGGCATTGTTCACGGGCCGTGGATTGCTGTCATGTCAGGTTTATCTGCAGGAGTTCAGCAGCGTGCCTTGGGTAGCTTCAGCGAGACTCGAGTTGCAAAAATGGGCATCAGCCTGATTGAGGTGAGGGCACTGCTGCGATACCATGACTTCAGCCGATGGTTTCTCCCTCTCAAGGGGGAGGCTCGAGAAGTGGTTCCATGCAAGTAATTGCGAAAGTGCTCTTCCAGAGTTTTCGTTCAATGCCCAGCCTTAGCTGATCAGTGCACGGGGGTATGGGGGGGAGCCCAAAAGAGCTAGCGGAGCTAAGCTCGAGTTTAGTCTTGAGCAGCAGTAGATCTGGAAAACGACGGATCGGTGATAGATCACAGGATGGGGGGGCAGGAACTTTGAAGCAGCAGCTTTCGTAAAAGTTGCTTCGAGCCAGGAGCCCTTGACGCCCTTGAAAATGCTTCGCGAAGTGCTGGGGGAGGCCTTGGGGGCTTGGGGGAGGTCCCTGCCAGCCCGACGTTTTTGTTTTTTGTTTTTGATTTCATTGTGGTGGAGATGCAAAAAAGGCTGACCCAGGCCGCAGATGTTCATTGTCGCTCATCAGACCTAAAAATGCAGGATGAAGGGGGTATGGGGCGGGGTGCATTAGGGAGGGGGAACCTTGGTGCCCTGAAACAGGGATCAACATCGGGTTGGACCCGTAGCAAGATGTGCGCCGTATTGGCATGACTGCGCTAAACATTAATTGGCAACCACGCTGCTGGACTGATGCTTTGCCTCTCTGCGTGCTCTGAGAGTCACACGTGAAGGGGTTGCCCTGAGCTTATCACCATGCAAAGAGCACGAACATGCACAAACTTTGCGCTTCGGACAAGGTGGTACGAAATTCATGGGCAATCTGTATTCCAATCATACAGCAACTTCGGACAAACTCGAATGTGGCTGTCTTTCCTGCTGTTTTATGATGGGTTTACTTAGGGCTTGCGCAGATGGGCAGCTGAGGTACACAGTTTTAATGTGTGTCACCACAGCTCCTTGGTACATTTTGGTAGCATACTCTTGCGCCGCTGGCTGCCGTCTAGATTAAGAATCGCTTATACTTGCCAAGGTTTCCTTTCTTGTCATCTGCGCTTTTGACGAACCGTTTGACCTTAGCTGCACATGGCATGGCCATTTGGGTATTTCCTCCAGGGTTACATTTGCAGGAGTTGCATGAGTTCAGCAGCTCCCGAGGATATCGTCATGAACTCGCTTGCTTTCACCTTCATTGCAGAGGCCAAAATCTCGGGAAGTGGCAATTCACATTGCTTCCATTCCTTTAGCAGATTGCAGGTTGGCAGTTTCTTCAACGAGCCTTTGGTCAGCCGAATGGCAGCCACATCTGTTCAGGCCTGTCAGCACTGACATTTCCATGAAGGAAGTTCGTGTCCTCTCGGTGTTCACACAGCTGCACTTTGCACCAAGCTAGTGCGGGCAGAGAGCACTGCAGCCCAAAGGAGCAGGCAGCACCAGCGCTGGAGCACGGAGCACAGTCAGTCAACAACAGCAAATTGGCCAGATTGTTTCTACACACCCACCCCTTCTCCGATCAAATGAGATACACGTTTCGAAGTTTGCATCGCAGGGCCTGCCCGCAGAATATGATGAGATCAAGTACCTGTACCCAGAGTTGCTTGGTTGCCTGATTGGGTTGGGGATTAATGTGCCATACTGTGGCGCTGCACCTGCCTTTGTTGGGTTGAAGAGTCCTGAAGCTCTTGCAGAAAAGTCTCCCATTTGCATGCTTTAAATCGCTAACGCGAAGCCGCCTCGGCAAGTGTGGTCAAGGCGAGAGAGCAACAGCACCACCCCGGCCCTACCAGGCCCGCCTCCCCAACCGCCCGGAACCCTAAATCCATGTTTTCGGCCTCGGAACCCGGTGGATGGTTCTGGACGTGGATCTAAACGGTCCAGGCCTCTGCCCTCAGCGGATTTAATCACGGCCCCTTTACAGGGCAGCCCTGTGAAGCCGTATCAAACCAAGGTATCGTCTTTCGAACGCGATTCGAGAGGACTGCACCTGGTTCCACCCCCTGAGACAGCTTGGAGCACAGGGTCAAGCCAGGAGCCCCAAAACACTCCTAAAGGCTGAAATCTTTGGGAGTTTTTTTTTGTGTTTTCAGTTTTTTTTTGATTCTAGCCTTCAACTGAGGTATCTCTGTTTTGTGCTTTGTCCTGCCGCTTTCTGCTTCGATTCTCTTCCTCCACTCTCCATGGCGCTGCATCGCGGCCCCTACTCACCACCCCCCCAACATCACTGTGCATCATGTCCTCCTATCATGCCCCCGTCTCCGTTGGATTCCGTTGGACATGGTGCCCGGCCCCTGTTTGATATCACGTCATGCAGCATCACGCCCAAGCACGCTGCGTCCAGCTGCAACACGCAAGACATCATCTCTAGTGTGGCATCGCCTCTGAAGCTGACGTCAATGATGAGGTTCCGTTTACAAAGCTGGAGCGAGGCAGTGCCAGCACTCGCTGTACCCACAGTCACGAAATCGAGTCCTGTGTGGACTCGGCTGCAGTTTAGATTTACCATAGAATGTGCAGTGGATCGGGACGTAAGAGGGGCGACTCCTGTGAAACTTCAAACTTTTTGGGTGCATCTGAGGGGGGGGCCCCCTCCCCCCCCTTCAGGTATTGATTTCTAAATACAAAGCTGGGGAGGTGCTGGCCTGAGATGAATTGAATCAGATTGAAGGCAGGGGGAGGGGCCCCCCTCACCCCGAGCCCGCTTTTTATGGCTCAACGGTTCAACGTGATGATAAGTCCATGCAGTGGGAGCGATAGATTTTTTGTAGACGACGTAATCGAACTCAGGTATTGAAAGTGCTGAGAGTATCTTTTGTGATACAATCCACTGAGTTTCATCCTGGGTTTTGGGTCTGTCATCCAACCATNNCAGTGTTTTCTACTGGCCATTCATAACTTGAGCCATTTGCATATTATGCTTTAACTATTTACTCTAAAGGGGCTTTCTATCTTGAAATAGCTCTATAGGGGCTATAGGTTAAATAGCCCTATATGGTGTTATATGGTCAGTTGACAGTTAAGTCAAACCATATACAGGTGCTACATGGCCTTTATGACCCAGGGTTTAAGCGTTTAACCTGTTCTATAACCCATTCTATACACGCTATACGGCCCTGAAATTTGAATTCAAGGCCATCTCATCACCATATGTGACATCATAAAGCCCGTATGGTTTATGCAAGTATAGAGACCATAAGATTTTTCATGGCCTGGTCATAGAAACGCCATATGATTCATAACATTATAAATCCCATACGACTTATATCCACTTACCATTGGCCAACAAACACCAAATGGAGCTATTTAAGGTTGAATGGGTCAAGGTCATACAAATCTTATGGGCTTTACAATGGCAAAAGCCATATGGGCTTTGCAATGTCACAATGTCACAAAACCACATGGCGTTCATATGGCCTTTGATTTAAATTCCAAGGCCATATATATAACACCTTTACGTGATTTAATTGATTGTCAATTGGCCCCATAGCACCATATGGGGTTTTTTAGGGTTTATAGAATGGCTTAGTGTTTCATTTTAAAGCTTGAGCCTAATCGCGCAAGATCCCTGCTTGCAGACAACTGCATGAACATGCGCTTGAAACTGCATGCAGTTGCCGTGATCCTGCAGTGGGGTGGGAGCTTTCGTTCAGCCCTCTCTCAAGTACTGGTTTTCATTTGCATTCTTCCTGGCCCCTTCCCTTGCACCAGCCGGCAATACAAGCCGCCTTTTTTTTCAGTCCCCACCTCCTATAGCAGCTTCTTTTCCCACCCCAAGCCGGATTTCAGAGCTGTCGCATGAAGCTTCACATGGCCGTGCTCTGGGACTGGCTCGTGGTTCTGCAGAGAGCAATGTAAAATTGGGCCCTCGCCCTCCTTCCCTCTCCACCTTCTGCATCTCCCCTCAGTCTCCTGACTTCACTTTCTCTTTCTCGTCTTTCTGTTTCTCTTTCTCTCCATGCCTCTCTTCTCCTTTCAGCCTTCCTCGTAGCTGTCTCGCTCTCTCTCCTTCACACAGTTTTTTGCTTGCAAGTCCCTTTACTCTACAAGCCTAGCACAGGCCCTGTGATGCAGCAGCAGTGTTTCTGATAGTATGTATGATGAATTTAGCGTTTGTCCTGCGTGATGCTCAGCTGCGGTCCGCAGGCCCACAGCACTCAAAGCGGCGTTTTGCCTACGCTTTACTGTAGCCAGGACGGGACATACACTGACCTGGGATGGTATATTTGCGATGACGAGGAGAAGGCAGGATTCATCAGCTTATCCGAGGGCGGTTCTCACACTCTTAACACGTAACATGTTTAAACATCTGAAGCCACGAAAGCCCAGCAGCGACAAAGCTGGCGCTGAAAGGCCGGACTGCTTAGTGATTATCGGGTTCGGCACAATGAGTCTGCCTACCCCCAGCCGCACCAGAGAACTGCAAAGGCCTGTTTCTTTTGTACATGTGCATTGATAGGACTCTCTGACGCAGCCAAACTGAACTTTGATTTATCTTGAGGTTCTGGAGATCTTGATCTTCATTGTTCCTCCCCTCTGCGTGTTCTTGGGAGCTTTGCACAGCCGCTGCAAGAGAACAGAGGCACGCCTTGCGCAACTCTTTTTTCTTTCCCAGCGATCCCCCAGTCACTGCCAGGGGTGCGGCTTAATTGTTTTCAAGTCTGAGCTCTGAGCTGACCGCCCTGCTTCTCACGAGAACGTAATATCCAGCTCCCGCTCACAAAGCGGTCGTGCCGTGAGACAGGTGCTAGTTAATGAATTTTAGTTGTTGCAGTGGGGCATGCGCTTGGCTGCCCAGACCAAAGTGGAGTGCAACAGATGGCAAGAAAAAGCCTTCGCAGCTCTGGCTTTCAAGATGTTTGCTACAGCATGCTACGGCCTGGCAGGATGTGCGCAGCACCAGCATGGGTGCTTTGTCGGTGCCTCTGTGCTGTTTACCATGCACTCGGGAAGGTGCGATGCAGAGCGTGAAAGCCGTTTTACTGCATAGGTGGCTAAGTGAATCAGAGCTTCGCTGGGTTTGGGCATGCTGGGCCTTTGCCACCTCTTGAGTTGGCTTCAGGTTGCAAATGGAGGAATCCTTCGGCCGCCTGACCGGAACAAATACTTGACGGGAAACATTGCGTGCAACGTGCTAAGGATCCCACCGGGGTACTTCGCAACTAACTTATCCATTGTCGTTTTTTCTTCACTTTTTCAACTTGTGAGCTTGCTTTGCTTACTTTGCAAATTCCGGCTGGCCGTGAAGCGCATTGAATCCACGGAAGAGACACAGGATGAGTTGCACCCTTGATCGTGGAGCCTGACAGACTACACCCGCTTCTGAGCAAAAGATGATGGGGCAATTAAAGGTGCATCGATTATGCAGATGCAGCGATGGCCACGAGATGTTGAGCTGTTGAAATGGCCCAGAATTCTGCCCAGAGCTCAGGGAAGGAGAAGGACAGGTTCAGAGCAGGGGCAAGGTGCAGTGCTTGGACTCAGGCTTTGAACCTAGCTGCGCCCCAGCTGTTGGGAGCTCACAGCGGGGTCCGGGAAATATCGTCTACGCATAGCTGGAAGACTGATGTAGTCCAGATGTTTCGGGTCCTACAAAGGTACCTCGATTTAAACAGGGTGATGGACTTTGGGGTAGGCCGCAGTCATAGCCTTGAGGTGTACCCAGGCGGTCTTAGGTGTTCTCAATGCTTTGAGATACTGTTTCTGGATGAAACTTATTAAAAGGGTGCCGTAGAGAGTTATGGACCTTATGGAGGGCAGAAGGTATGCCTCACGAACAAGCTATATCAAGCTTGCCGGATGCAGGGGCATTTTCGAACGCGTACAAATGGAGATAAGCAAGGATGACACAGCCAGCCCAAGAGCTGCTTCTGACCAAACTGGGTTGAAGCTACGGCAATCCCATGCCTGACGGCTGCTGCTGTCTGTCTGCTTGCAGGGTGTTTTCTTTGTTCCCCAGGCCAGAGTGGATGCACTGCGATGTGCTCAGCTGCAAACTCTTGGAGGCGGGATGTACAGGATGTGGGACATGCTGGCATTCATCAAACAAAATTCGCACTCACGAGGAAGCCAGCGCTCAGATCGCATCCAACTGTCGCAGTTTCGGCGACACTCTGCAGTGTGCCGTGCACTTGGGCAAAAGCATGCGCTTGATCAGATCATTAGATGTCAACATGTGTCAACCATCTTGCAAGGGCTGGCACTAGAGCAGCCTAGGTTTGTGGAGGCGCGATGAAAAGGTTGCAAGCTGAGGCTGGTTTTTCTGCTTGCGGCAAGTACTCAGCTTGCACCGGGGTTGCCAAATCAAATGAAGCCACCCGGCCAAAAGGGCCGCATTCCATGCGTGATGTTGAGCCGATGTTGCATGGGTGCGTGCATCGCGTTTGGAAGCAGACGTTAGAGGCTTGCTCTAAGCGAGAGGCCTGATTATGTTCAATGCATCGAAATGCATAGAGTTAGTCCAGAGAAAGTTAAGGTGGCGGGCTCGTTTGCTGTTGTGTGGAGCAAGAAATGGTGTTGAGGCAAGGGATGACAGATGTAGCCTGGACAGAGTCTGACAGAGTCACGGGTTGCAGATTTTCGGCTCAGGGGAAGGTCCTGAAAGCTGTCATACCACCCTTGCTTGCAGTGTTTACAAGATCCTGAAGCCACCGACTGCTAGAGCCCTTTCACTTTTGCTGTACCAGTTGCTGCACTTCACAGCTTGCTCTGCTTGCCTTTGGAGGCTGGCACTTCCTTGGTGGCATCAGCGCGGCACTTGGAAACTTTGTCTCGTGGGATACAGCTGGCACACGTTGCTTTAGCAGGTTGAGGATTGCACCGACTTCTTATCCACCTTCGCAAATCTCAGCACAGCTTTGCTGGCGGTTGCGGCGGATCTAGAGCTTGCATCTCAAGCCTGTCCAGCTGGGTTCACAAGTTTTCCCTGGTGGACCGGACATGAAAAGAAATTGCCAAGGTTGATTGTAACTCAGCCACTTCAGAAGACGATTGCGACGCTGGTAGAGGAGAGCACGGGGCGCGCAAAGCACCTGCAACAGGCGTGGCTTCATTCAGCTCTGCAGCATTTTGCAGCATGCTGCAGCTGCTTTTTACCACGGGATGACAGGTTAAGAGGCGCTTTGCAGAACTGCAGGCAGAATTCGATGCTGAAAAATGAGTATGGCTGAGCTGAGCTGATTGTGGAATCTCGTTCTGGGCAGGAAAGATATGTGAAAACGCGGCAGAAGACCTTGGATGCCAAATCCAAGTCAAGCTCTTACCCGTTGTTAAGCCGTCTCAGCCTCTGGGTTTGGACAGCAGAGCCTGCCCTCACCTGAGGCTTGCAGGAGCGGAAGGCATGGCCTTTAAGAGCTATTAAAGGGGCCCTTAACAGTGAACAAAGAGGTCCCTCTTGTAGTTTGGTATAATTCCTAATATAGTCCCTAAAAAGGAACCCATGTCCATTCAATTATGTAGGAAATATTGACTGTAGCTCACATGCTTTTTATCTTCTTCTGGGGTAGGCGAAAAGCGATGGAAATGGCGGAAGTCGTCTGACGCACAGCGCCAAAGCATCCGACTGATGCTTGGGTTCGTGTCCAGTTGCAAAATCTGCTGTTCACAGGACAGAGAAGACTGCTGCTGACCAGCATCTCCTGCATGTTTGGACGAGCTGTGTGGGGTCGCGGGAGTCCTGGGTGAGTTCAAGATGCATCCAGATTGTACTTTCCAAGATCCGTAGTGAGCGGCTTCAACAGCCTGCCGAGGGGTGCACGTAAAACATCATGACTTGGGCCATGCCTGCATGTGATCCGTGCTTTTCATAGCTGTCAGTCTGAACTTTTTGAATGTAATAATTAGTTCAGCAACAGCATGTGCCCTGGCCATCAACGCATGCACGTGCAGAGCACAGTCTGAGCAGGCACACGGCGGTGTGTGACCTTGCCCGCTGCGAAGAGGATGGCTTTGGCATCTTGCTTTTTTGCCTTGGGCTTCTGTTTGGGAAGTCCTTTTTTTGAGATCTGAAGAGGAGCTGTTGGAAAGCGAAGCCTGTCTTCGCAAGTTGGAGGCGCCAGGAACAACTGTGGCGCGGGTGACTCTGCCAGTGCGATGCAGGATGATAGTAGGGAGCGACTGCAGCAACTTGAGTGTGAGAAGAAGGCACCAGCTATGTCAGGGACAGCAGCCGAAGTTATTGTGCACTTGGGACTGAGAGGCTGTGCTTCGGCGAGTCCTGCAGCAGGGCAGAGGTTCATTGCGACGCCTCCTGCGAGTCGCGGACAAGGCAGAGTAGCGTACAATTTGGATCATGGCAGATGGTTTGCGGAAAGTTTGTGGTCAAATTTTGCTGAAGCCTGCAGGTGCCGCCGATAGATGATTTTCAAGGAGTTCGAGCCCAAGCCATCTGACTGCTGCTGCTAGAGCTTGCAGCTCCGAGGTCATGCCTGGGGCAGATCATGCATCCGGATGCTTGCAGGAGGTGCACAAAGTCGGGGTCATTTTCATGAAGACCTCACTGGTGCCCCGCCAGGTGCAGAGTGACGCAGCAAGGCAGTCTGTAGGCTGGGCCAAACTTCGAAGGAGTGATGCCCGAAGGTTGTGAGTCTGCCGGAGGCCATGGCCTGCCTGCTGAGCCGGAGGTTTGCCAAAAGCTTGATGAAGAGGCCTGCACCTTGTGCGAGAAAGGGTTGGGAGGGTCACACCATTCTGTGTAAAAGCCGAGGGTTCCGATTCCAGAGTTGTGGAAAGAGTTCGTGTCTGTATCAGCATTTCATCAATAGCAACCCCGCCCTCCCCCCTTCCTCCCCCCATCCCCCCCCATAAAGGCTCCCCCATAGTTAAAGGGGAGGCGGGGTGGCCCCCCGCTTATACGTTCCCCTGCAAGTCCTCAAGTAAGGCTTACAACTTACAATTGCATTTTCTTTTGAAAGCTTTTGGTCGACACCTCAGCCCTGCAACTGCATAGCTCCTTCGCTGTCTTCCACTGCTGCCTCTAGCTTTCGTGGCCCTCGTCTCAAGTGTGCTGGATGCGGGCACTCTGAAATTGTTGCGTCTGGCTTTGCCAGTCACTGAAAACCTGATGGTGTGCAGGAGCTGAAGCCTCCATGTTCAGACCGGCTTTCTCGCTACCTGCCAGGCATTTTATCATGTCGCCATATGCTGTGCAGTGCTGCTGATCTTGCAAATGGGGCAGGTCCAGACCTGGAGGATGAGGAGGCAGAAGATAGGGACGCCGAGGCTTCCTCTTTGAGCAGCTAAACTAGAGGGCCAAATGGGGGGCATTCAGAAACTCCAAAGGTGAGTGCCGCCGCTCGGGCGGCCGGTTGGTCTCCCGACTCGCAACTCTGACAAGCTTGCCAAGCTTTCCGAGCAGATCCATTGAGTCATGCTTGATATGCCAAATGACAACTTCAGGATTGTTGTAGCTCAATCTACATTTGCCATGCATCCCGACCTGTCGAGCAAGAATGAAGCCCTCTCCTTGCCTTTCTCCTCTCTCCTCCCACTGCCTGCATGTTTTGTTGCATCCTGTCTTGCCTGGTCTTGCGGACGTGTCCTCTGTCTACCGGGGCCTCAGCCCAAGCCGTCTCATGAGTTCTTCGATGCACTGGAAATTCGTTAAAATCAAGAAAGATACGCATGCGCAGCTTCCCATCTCGTTTTCTTTCAACGTATCTCAGGACATGGTTTTGGTGGCAGTATATAGGCTTCCTTAGGAATTTGGGTTGGTGTAAGTTGTAAATACACGCAGTTTGG